TGGGATCATTGGGCTTGGTGTCAAAAGAGGCACTAAAGACTTGTCAACCTGAAGCATCCTGAAGCGCTCCGAACTCCGAACCTCTTCAGAGCTCCAGTTTGATCCTCACTTCAGTCGCTCGGCTTGATGCCACTGCAAGAGGGGTGAAGCAAATGAGTGCCTGAGAATATGACCACAACAGACCGAGCGGGACCGTCATAAACTAATACTCCCCAATCTGCAAAATGTATGGACATATCAAAACCGATACCCCCAGTAGTACTGCTGTTGTTCATATGCCATGTGTTGCCTTAAGTTTCCATTTCGGTAGCGTGACATTTGCACGGGGTGACAATGTTCCCGATGGAAAGCAAAGCGTCATTGAGTCATCTCCAGCACCTTGGCCAATGTGGTGCCAGTGCTCTCTCGCCAGGGATTCGATTGGCACGCTGGGCGATCCGAGTGACTCTCCACACCTGATCTCAAAGGTTCAAAACAATGGAGGGTGAGAAAAAAGGGGGAGCCCCTGATCCTTTCAGGTTCTTGTCGCAAGCTTCTGACTTTCCAAACACTATCACGACAAGCACATGCTTCCTGCATTCAACCGCCCAAGCCGAGATCAAATCCGTGCCCCGGCGCTCTACCAACAAAATATAGTGTGAGGGCTACCGCATGCCCAAGCCAGGCACACTCCAGGCATGGCTGATCATCTTGTTGTCTGACCACCACATTAAGTATGCACCATCACGCTTGTGGCCTCTTGCCTCTTGCATCATTGGATTATTTGGAGACGAGGAACACCTCCAAGGGCTGGCTGGTGTCTTTCACCACGTCATGTGCTCAGGTGATACATGTGTTGCCGGGAATCGAGATGAACTACCCCATCCCCCAACGACCAAGAGTCCACTGGCCTGTGATCTCGGCATGGAGCTACGGATGTCAGAGGCAAGCGAGCTCGATGAGATGCACCGCATGATCTCGTGTATTGCAAGTTGGAACATGCATGGCTGGTTTGCAACATAAAATATACGGGAACACTACAAATTGCCACGAAGCCGCATAAACAGGTTCATCGAACGATATCTGGCTGAAAATTATTTGGCGCCTGTCAGTCCCAAGCATGACAAACGAAACACTGTCGGACCTTGTGGTGGCCTCCTGCTCTTCAGCAAATCGATAGATTTCTGTTCTCCAGAATCTTGCGCCTTCTGCGGCCTCGGGAAGATGGCGCCGCTTTGGGAGCCGAGGCCCTTGAGCATGCGGCAAGCAATGCACGGGCGCACCTTGCCAGGTTCCGTTTCGCTAAGGCGAGACATGGCGAGACCCTGCTCCGATCAAGCAAAGCTGAAACGCATGAAATGAGCCATGTCCCACGAGGCGTAGTTCCATTTGGGCTGAAAGAAAAAACACCATGTATGTACATCTTTGTACCCTTATACCTTACTATCGTTTAGTACTGTTGTTTGCTCCCCGGAATCGGCTTGCCATGTTTTAAGGGCCTACGACTCAAGTGCACTATAAGAATAGGCAGCAGGCAGCGGCGCATGATCTGTTTCGCCTGCTCGGTTATCAGGAAGAGCAACTCGAGTTGATGTGAAGATAGCAACCAGAGCAAGCCAAAGACGCTTTTGCTACTGGCAGTTGGCTGGATTTGGAAGGCATGAGTATCGGTTAGGTATCAACGGAGTATCGGACAGTTTGACAATTCGAGCCAATTGTGTCGTCCTTGTTCTGGGGGTACCTTCTTTTTTTTTAAAAAAAAAAAATCAGCGTTGCTTTACAATGGTTTAGGCCTGCAAAACAAGTTAAGGGCTAAGGGACTGCCCCTTGCATGACGAAAAGGCGCGGGTGTTTATTTCGACCCATTGCCTTCATACGTTACTCTGCAAATTCAGAGGAACATGGCACAATCCTGACCACGATCCTGTCAACTGTATGCCTATGTAACTATGTACTTACCATTATCCTCCACTGCATTCTATTCTCCTCCCTTTGGGCACTTGATCTTGTCTTTCCCACCGCTTTTTGCTAGACCTATGCCCGCTTTGCGTCTTTACCTCTCTCCGCCTTTGCCTCCCTTCCTCCCCCCGCCCCGCCCCGCTCCGTGGGGATGTCTGCCTGGCACGGCTCGCGCAGTGAGGGTCTAAGGCTTAGGGTCAGCTTGTCTCGAGCTTGGAACGACCTCTCGAGAATATGGCTGTGGCTCACAAAAACGGTACCAAAATGGAACGCTGGTAAGTGGAAACATGGACCAAAACCTGCGTAACCCCTCCTGGTTAACTTTGAGCCACACCCATATTGAGAGAATGTCAAACATTGCTGGCATACATGAACTAGCCTAACAAAACACACACACACACTTCACACTATGCCAGAAACGGGTGCGGTGCGGATTGCTTGCACTTCCATCGATTCTGAAGCACATTTCTGGGATGCGAGACAAGGTTTGCCGAGGATTGACCGACCTAGTGTGCCTTTCTCTTAACTCATATGTTGGCTGCTTGCAAATATGCAGACCATTCTCAGAGGCAAATCGTTACATAATCAAACACCGGTTGTGGCACGGCAAAGGACTCAAACAGGATGCAATACAAACAAACACATGTTATGAACAGGAAGCATCAGCAAACAATTCATTGTTCTCCCTGCACCAAGCTTGAAATGCTGGCCCTCACATCCCCTCTTGCCGATCCAAAGTCAGCACCTCGTCTTCTAGGCCGCAGTGGTGGCACACGATGAAGTTCAGGGGAGACACATCCCCCATCGAGGCGGTCCGGGCAGCTGCGGAGAGGCTTTGCTGATGTGCTCTTCCGAGTTTTGCATGGTGAAGCGGGGAATACGTGTATATATATATATGTACATTACATATTCCCCGCAATGGAAGATATGCAAGTCCGCGCCTGCAACAGCCTTAAAAGCTCCAGTTGCCTCATGATCCAGGCACTGTTTACATTAGCTCTTGCCAATGTAGTACTTGGTGCCAAATGCATTGCTTCCTTAAAACTCTGACAACCAAGAGGCGCCAATCACTTGGCCTCCTCATACCTGGCAGAGATATACCATGTTGGGCCCTCGAAATAGATGATGAAATCCCGACATCTGGACTCGGTCATTTCTGAGTTTGAATGGCCCATTGCCACCCTCTGTCACACTTCAAGCATAATGCAAAACCAAGCCCAAACATCTGGGGACACAAGTATATATCCAAATTTGCACGCATGACATAATCCTTGTCACCGAGCCGAAATGACGTGAGCATTGCACACTTCATCGAGAGCAATGAATTGCTTTCGGTATGCATTCTATCTGGAAGGCAATGAGCCAAGTAGGCAGCATGCTCAGCCATCAATACCACGAATCACAAGCGATTCAGCAACTGAAAAGCCGACAAATAACTTGAAGAAGCGCGGAATTGCACAAATATGTGCATGTAACAAATGAGTTTTAACAAATTGTGACTTCGGGTGTGCATCTGCAAGAATGCAGGTATGTACGTACGTGCTGCGTGCGTTGGCATTCATGCATGCAATTGTGCATGCAAGTAACATATCCAGCATGCAAGTACGATGTACGTGTGTACGTGTCTACGTGTGCGTGTGTGGTGTGTGGTGTGTGTGTGACACACCCGGCTGGGGCCCAGCGGTGGGATTTGGGTTCTGCGCAGGCTGCAATGTCTATGGCGAAAGAAGTGCCGCGTGGCTGATTGTGTGTGTCCATCCCTGTTGCCAAGGGCTGATCCGAGTTCTTTGTCAGACTCGCAAGCTGGGAGTCTTTGCAAATTGTCGAGGTGGTGCCGGCTATCCTATCCGGACTCTCCATTTCTTTTCCAAGTATGTGGAGTAGGCCACAGCCATCCTTGGGTCTAGTCTGTGGCCCTGACGAGTAGGGCCCAAGGATGACGAAACTCCACTCAATCAATTAAAGTGCATGTGTGCCCACTGGGCTTGATCCTGACCCTCGCAGAAGAAATGAGACACAACAAGGACCGAGAGAGGGGGGATTTCACAAGTGTGGTGTGTGTGTGTGTGCGTAAGTGTGTTTGTGTGTATGCGTGTGTATGCGTCTGCGCATGTATGTGCTCATGTGTGTATGTATGAATGTAATGCAATGTATGCAATGTATGTAATGTAATGTAATGTAATGTAATGTAATGTAATGTAATATAATGGAATGCAATGTAACGAACATGCAATGCAATGTATGCATGCATGTAGGTAGGTATCTAGGTGGGTAGGTAGGTAGGTAGGTAGGTAGGTAGGTAGGTAGGCCATGGTAGGCCGGTCTGTAGGTAGTAGGCAAGTATAAATGCATGCGGCTGCATGCGTGCATCACAGCACTGCATGTTGTGACAATATAATTAACATGACCAATGGCCCCCTACAAAACCGCAATGTCCCGCGTGGAAATCACTCTGTACTCATTCCCAATCTGATTTAGCAACTGCAAAAGTGCAACACACAATTCTGAAACAGCCATGGGCAATGGGGCTAAACAACAACGTGTTGGCTCTTCACATTCCCCTCAATACAGGCAAGAGGGAGGTTCAGCGTAGTCTATGTTTGTGCGCTTGATGAGCCAGATTTGCTCTGTAACGGGCCTGCAGCTTGCACACAGAACAACACCTTGTAACAGTGAGGATGGTGCAGACTGCAGGCTTGTGCTTGCAAACGAAAGGGTTGTGTTTCGGAGACTCAGCACAAACAAGGCTGGCTGATAGGGGACAACTAGGCGAAGGCTTTGATAGTGCACACGCATATGGTATGCTGCAGACTGCAAACAAAGCAGCAAGTCCATGAACGGTCCCGAACCGGCAATGTTTGTTATTGCACAAAAGGGGGCCTACTGTAACGTCTCATGTTGTTCACTGGTTAAACCGATCCTGAGAAAGTAATTCACGCCCAACTTTGGCAGAAAGCTTGCCCCATCCAAACCATACACCCAAACAGCCTTACCCCACCATCAGGTTTATCCCGCAGTGAGTGGGCCTGCACACGCTAAGCCTTCCAAAGCTTCCCATTTTTCTCATTGGATGGGCGCAACGGCGCATGGCTTTCTCTGAGATACAGGGCGCTTCTTTTGGCAGCCCAACCAGATCTGGCGCTGAGCGACGTTTCGCGGCTTTGCGGAGCAGCATCAGAATGGAATGGTTCAGCAGGAAACGGTTGATAGTTGCATAACTCGCGCATCAATGTGGCAGGGCTCATCCTCATGCAAGCGGCTGTATTATTCTTGTAGGAGGCGCAGCTACTCTCTGCCTCTCTCTCTGAACATATCAGCGCATTATGCACGTTGCTCTAAACCTGCGGCTTGTTCGAGAATATGTCCGCGTGAGTTTACTCACAGCTCAAAACAAGAAGGCAAAGCAAGGCTGGGGCTTGTCATGCTGGCCTCACCAGCAAACGCTGATCACCTCTGTTAACTTTACGCCCCTGATCCGACTTCAGTGAAACGGATATCACTCCATAGACTGGGGGTCACGCGGCTCCCAGTGCAGTCTGGCGGAAGGAACCTTCATCACGATTGTCTGATTTTTTTCTGGGAAATGCCATCTGCGCGAAATACCTGAGACACATTCCCTTCCCCTTCATATCCATAAGGATCCTTCGGACCACTCTGCAAACATGCTATTTGATTCTGGGCGATGGCAACACCCCGACAACAAACTTTGTTTCTTCCGAACCGGGCCCATATGGTGCCTGACCACCCTCCTGCACACCCGCTCCTGCTTTCCTAGAGTCGTAGTGATCTGCTCAGGTGATCAATCTAAGTGCTCTGCCACATCCTCGGGAAATTATTGGTCTACACTGCTCAATCCCAAGATTTCAAAGGCATCAGTTCGTCTGTAGCATGGTCCGACCGGATGTCATGGGCGCTTTCCAAGCGATTCGCAAGCACCCCGAGCCCCAGCACCGGGAGAAGCGCAGCACTGGCCGCGCCCGACCTGAAGCGCCTGAGCAGACAAACTCGAGAAAAAGCAAGGAACCGAGAGGGGAGAAAAACAAGTGGAACGCAAGCGATTCAGCGATGATCTGTTTAATCGAGTCGGCCTTTTAAGCCCGGGCCTTCAAACCCGAAATAAGTGAAATGAGTGAGGCATTGTGGCAAGCTCAGCCACCAAAAGAAGAAACAGCTTCAAGAAGTGCCGCTGGCACATCTAGCTTGCGTGACAAGGCCTCGGAGAGTCAAAGATACCTTCCAAAGGCAAGACATATCAAGACATGATGAGCTGACTGTACCGGGCGCTATTCAGAGAATCTAAAGAAACTGCAAATTGTCCGTCCCATGTTGGTTGGTCTCCTTTTGGGCACTTGAACAAGTAGGGGCTATTTGGCAGCTGGAGGTCCCTGAAGAACCATGTCTCTCACAAAGCTGTCAGACTCCGTGTGTCTTCGAGTCTTCGAAAGGGTGCGCTTTCACTAGCCAGACCTGCCTTGGACGAGTCTCCTGGTCTATGTAAACCAGAAATCACACTTTCATGTTGCCAAAAAAACGCAGGCAAAGACCAGAGCAGGCGCAAAAATAAATAAAAATTGCCGCACACGGTAGTGGCGGCCGTGGTGGTGGTTTGTTTTCCTTGTTGTTGCCAGTACTTTGATGCATCCCTGCAAATGCCAGAGTCTGCACGGATGTAATTGCTGTATGTCCAAGACTCCGAGACTATGTGCGAGCAAAATCAGTCAAAATCTATCAGGACCCTGCAATTGTTGCTCTTGAGACCATGCATTTGTTGAAATAACGCTCAATTAATGTGACAAATGGGACATTTGTGTTGGGAAACCATTTGCTCATCGCTCAAGACGAGAGAATTCAAACGGGGATGCTGCACATCCTTGAGCCCCGACAGGGCCACTGCCAACATCACATTCCCACATTCTGACTCGCAGGCGGCACACGATCGTGATCCAATGGGCTGAGAGTGCCAGAGAGTGGACTGAATTGAACGTTTTGATTGCAAAGCACCCAAGCCCCGGCTGAATGAACTGGGTGCGCTGCTTGCAGCGCTTGCGTTTGCCTCCAGTAGGCCTCGCTGCATTCAGTCGAACACAGCCATACAGCTCTTGCCGCCAAGGCCACCCCTTAGGAGGCACCATTGTGTAAAATACTGGAAGGAAAATGTCTCACCCTTTCTGCCGGCCTGTAACAACCATTCCGTAGTGCTGAAGCGTTCAAGCAAGTGATTTCCCATGGCGTGCACAAAACCCTTGTTCATTGTTTGATCGCGCTCATTGGGATAATTATGTATTATATTTTATATATACATATATGCACACCGAATTATCTTGTGCATAGATATAAATGCCATGTCAAGTATGTGTTGCAGAGTGTCTCTTGTTTACAAACTCAAAAACGACAATCACAACTGTTTACTTCAAGTGCAGTACGTCGTATTTTGTTCTGAATACACGTTGGCAGCTCTGGCTCAAAGGCAAATTACAGCCGCACGATATCAGCTATAATAGTCTTATAACCCTTTATCATGCTCTGAGGGAAGCGGGCCAAACATGAATGCAAGGGTCCGCCGGGTACAAAGGTGAATGCCAGAGTAAGCTCATATCAACTGTCATGTGGAATTGATTTTAGACTAGGTCCTCCAGTGGAGAGGTTAGAAAAAGGGTACCCTTTTTTCTGTAGTCTATTTTAGTAGGGGAACCCTCCCAACCAAAAAAAGGGTGAGAAAGGGCACCTAGCTGGCGGACCTAGCAGAGATCCCTCGTCTCATTGCTCGGCGCTTGCTTCAACTCTCTCGCGCCTCTCGGTGCTGCTCGTATGGGCCCCAGGGCCGGCAGAAGCGGCTGTCCTGCAGCACCCCTGTGCTCAAGCCCTTGATCGCGCCATGGGCTGGACAAAAGGTGATGTGCGTGTTTATGCTGGCGGACCAGAAACCGCGCTCAACGGCGTGCACTTTTTTCCTGCAACCCTGCATAGCACGCCCGCACACCACTGCTTCGCCCTGGCACTGCACGTAACCGCACCCGCTCGACTGCTTCGTTATAGCAGGCCTGACCATGGTAAGTGCTTCGTTGCAACACTGTGCGCACGCCTGACCATGGTAAGCGCGCCCGCCCAACTGCTGCGTTAAAACTCTGCGTGCACGCCTGACCATGGTAAGCACACCCGCCCGACTGCCGCGTTATAACACTGTGCGCACGCCTGACCATGGTAAGCGCACCCGCCCGACTGCTGCGTTCTAACACTGTGCCGGTCGACTACTGCGTGCACACCTGACCATGGTATGCGCACCCGCTCGACTGCTTTATTATAGCACGCCTGACCAAAGATGTTTTGCGCGGACGCGAAAAGGTCGTCTGCCACACTGGCACGATAGACTCTACCTCGTCAAGCTGCAAAGCATATCCCGATTTCGCTGCCTTCGTGCAGCCCGCATCTCCTCTTGTATGTAAAGTCTTGGCAGTTGCGCCAGCGAGATGTGGAGCAGCAAGCTGGTGCAGCGATCGCAAAGATGTGAAAAAGGAGAAGGCATGGAATGGGCGATACAATTTGCGTTTCGCCTCAGCGAAACGCAAAACGCTTCTACAACCGAGCTCTCTTTTTGTGAGGTTCTTAGGGGATTTAATGTGCGTTTCGCTGAGGTGAAACGCAAGTTTTTTCAGAAAAGCGGCAAAACGCGAGCGCGGATTTGAGTCCGCCGGGATGTTTATGTTTAAAACACGAGTTGGCTAAAAGGCGGGTTTGAAGCAAGGATTCTGCCAAACAGCTCGACTGCGCAAACAGCTCGACAGCACTATGCAAGTTTGCATTTAGTCAACACCATGATGGCACCGCTTGCCAGCATTGAGTTGTGGGCTTGGCTGTGCGGCTATGTACCCAGAAGTGATTGTGAGGATGGCCCTGTACAATACGCTGCTGCCCAAGCACACGGCAATCGTATGTCTGCACCAGGGCTACTGGCTTCGCTGTGTATTGATACGGTTGTCAACAAGTATGCCTGATGGGAGGCAGACGAGGAAAATATAAGGTTGAACAAACATTGCAAAACAAATCGTGAGTTGCATTGTGCCATATCCTGTAATGACTTTGGATTCAGCCAGGTTGGCAGTCAACCTTCTCACACACGCTCGCCCTTTCTCTCTTCTTGGACACCATCACTAGCCTTCAATTGCAAAGACGGTAATGTACAAGGAGGACAGAGCCAAAATGAAATGCAGATGCTGGCAGCATGTTCAGTCAAGATACCCTGCAGAAGTTGTTGCAAAGACAAGCAACACGCACCCACTTAACAGCTGTGGACACACCGGCCAGCAAGCCATGCCTGCCTCCACTTTGCGCCTTTGATATTTGGCAGCTATGCCTAGGATCGATTTCCCATGCAAACCTTTCAGCCCAAAGAGTCGGGTCCTTGCCACAGCCAATGTCGCGGACGATCTCCGGGCTGCGGGCAAAGTACTGGCAAGGCCGGAGCTTTCGGGTTGGGGTTCAGGAGAGCATCTCTGAGAAAGATTCCTAAGGCGAGTAATCAGCATCAGATTGGCAACAACAACGCATGAGCCTTCGAGCTTGGGTGACTGTTCCACCATTCGGTGTGTGGGCTAGCAACGAGGATGTGCTAGCCAAACACAAAGCCAGACATAATCCCCATTCAACATGAAGAAAACAACAAATTGATTTTGCCCAGACGACGAACGACGACGCAGAAAAAGGCGGCTTTGTTTTAGTACTTGTTTGAAAACTGACTGAAGACAAAGAGCACTGGCACCTGAGTGTGTGTACCCCCCCTCCCCCAGTCTAGCTGCTCTGCACAGCGGCTAGGGGCTACATGACTATAGACTGGGGTTGTGCGGAACGTGCCCAAACTGTCTCAAATGGTCCAAGGGCGAAACAATTGTTTTGAGCTAGTTTGGAGCTTTTTGAGCTAGTTTTCAGGGGCACCAGCTCCAAGCTCCAAGCTCCTTGCTGTCCGCATCTGTCCACATCTGTCCACCAGTCCTGCGTCTTGGCCTCCGAGGCCAGGCCCTCCGGCAGCCGGTCGAAGCCGAAGTCGACGCCCGAGGCGCTGCGCGCGAGCTTCGCCAGCTTCGCGAGGCGCTCCGGGCGCCGGTCCTGGAGCTGAAGCTCCTGCAGCTCCTGGCGCAGAGGCCAAAATGAACCATCCACGAACGAACCGTCCAATTCATCCACCTATCCATCTTGTCATTTCCTTTTGGGAGAAGTGCTTACCCCAACTGCCGCTATAGCTAACCCCCATTCGCAAGAAAAACCTGACCTGCCAGCTGTCTTTGTTGCGTTTCAGGTTTTGTTTGTTGTTTACCATGCAGGTAACTGGAATCCCTGCGACCAGTGCAGGTAGCCAGGGAAAACATTACATGTGGAATACCTGAAGAAGATAACACTTATATTTGTTTTGTTTTTTTAGATATGTCTATACTTCAGTCCTTGTGCTTGGAATGCGGCGCGACGCGTAGACGGCCGTGGCGTTTTAGAGGTTTTTTACTGTTTCACAGACTTCGTGACATCTTGGACCTGTTGCAGACAGTCTTTGCCACTTTTCCCAGCACCTGTCTTTTCCCAGTCTTGCCAGTAGATATATATTTTGTATACCTGTCTTTTCTGCAAACGTGGATGATGACGCAAGCAAACGGGGCATTCACGTTTCGGCGAATCTGCGCAGCCAAATGCTAAGCGCCCACATCCATGTTCTGGAAATTCACGCGGCCAAGTGACAACGGTCCGCGGTTTTGGGAGCCCACCCATGTCTTGGGAAGCCCGCAGCCCAATGATGAGTCCACGCTTTTGGGGTTCCACGCAGCCAAGTGATAAGCACCTACGCTTTGGAAAAAAGGCAGCCAAATGACAAGCATCCACGTGTTGGAAGTCCAGCCATGTTTAAGGAACGCAGCCAAATGATAAGCAATCACGCTTTGAGGAATCCACGCAAACAAATGATAAGTACCAACAGTTTGGGGAATCTACCTGCGGAATCACGAAGCCGGGATGAGATCTTGAGCAATTGCAAGTTACGCACGCGCTCCCCAGCTTTACCCCCGCCCCCCCCCCCCCGGTGTTTGATGCCTCAACCATCTGCACCGAGCTCAAGTTTTCCCTTTTTCTGCGAATCGCAGTGGGGCTGAGGGCTGTTGAAGACGGGGACGAGTGCTGAACGTCTTAAACGTGCAAATTCACAACTGCTGACAACGTGCCGCGGACCAAGTATGGCCCCTCAATGAAGCATCCTTATAGTTTCCTTCACATTCCTTAGGTTCACATTCAAACGCCTTGATAATCCCCAACTGAGAAGCAACCAAAGAAGGCATGCATGCACTAAACAAAAAGTGAGGGTGATTTCCTACCCCATTTTCAAGGGCCACTCAAGTGATGTCTGCAGACCCGACACTGGAATCGCTGGCTGAAACTGTCTTTGCTGAACCCCTTCTCGTGAACACACATGCACGCACTATCTAGCCCAATCGCGCAGATGTCCCGCGTCCTTCTCTGCGATTTTGCTCTCCAGGTGGCTGATCCGTTCCGCGTGCTCGCTGGGAAGGCTGGTGGGGTCCTTGGGAATCTCCATCAGCACCAGGCCAGGTACCCTGGCAAAAGATTCAAGCCCCCGTCTTTTGAGCTCCATCCGGGGTCGCGGTTTGTTTCCTGGCCCCGGCTTTTTACTGGGCCGGGCTCAGCACCAGGCCTCTCATGTACTTCCAAACAGCTTGCCTTGGACCTAGGGCCGCCTATTGGCATGAATAAGCCACCCAACAACAGCCTTAACATCAGCCCTTTACCAAGGCCCCAACAAAGCCAAAACCCGCCCTCATAAAGACGTTAGCAAGCCGAGCAAGGCCGGTGAAGGCACGTGGCCAGCCAACCCTGACCCACCCACCCACCCACCCGCCCACCCACCCACCAACCCACCCACCCACCCACCAACCAGTCAACCAGTCAACCAGTCAACCAACCAACCAACCAACGAACCCAGCCAACCAACCCAACCCAACCCAACCCGACCCGACCCGACCCCCCAACCCAACCCAACCACCTACCAACCACCCTACCGAGCCCTGGACAGGGCTAGCAACCCAAACAGAAAACACCGGCTCCGAGCACTAGTTGCGAACAAAACTACCTCTCGACTACAAATATACGCAGTCTTAGGGTATATAAGGCAGGTTTTCCATGGTACAACATACGTCCAGTCTTACTCAGGGGTTGACATCATGTCCTACAAAAGAAGCCATTGGCCGTTGGGGGTCAGTGCTTTGTCTGGCGTGGTGTTTTGGGAAACAAATCAACAACGATTGAGGAACATTGCAATGACGTCAACAAAGTGCGAGGAAAGCAGCATAGCATGGTACAGTTTCCATCTCTTCGTGCTCAAGGATTGGCTTGCAGTGCAGCGCATCGATCGGCGCGCCTTTTCGGCTGCTCTGCCTCAGGCAGAGGCAGAAGGACAGGCTGCGACTGACTCACTGCCACCTTCCGCACTTTCCTGGCATTGGATCGGCACGAAAGAGGGAGGATGTCGAAAATCAAGGGGGGTTAGCCGGCAAAGCTTGCGCGCCACAGGACGGTAAGGCATCTGCATGCTCAATACAAGCCGAACCAGCTGCGACCCCCTTGTCGCCCATTGAAAAAACATGTGGACACCTCCCACCAATTAGTTTGGATAAGAGCTTCATCAAGTCTTCTGGAGAGTAGTCGGGGAATCCCTTCGATCCCTGCCATGACCCGTCACTCTACTAAGCAGCTTCGTCCCGTTTCTCGTGCAACCACAAAAAAGCAACAAAAACAAGTCTAAGTGGCCCCAGGGCTAGCAAAGTGTGCCATAGCCGTGGGGAGGGGGCTCACCAGCAAACAACCAAAAGTGAGCCCCGGACAGAATTGCTTGCTTTCCAAGACACCATGGAGCTATTGGGCTGTTCCCTGGAGAATCCTCCCAAACCAGCAGCGTCTGCCAACCATTTCGTCATTGACTCAAGTTACATAGTGGATACAACTGACCATAAGATGGCTGTTTTTCTCCCATCAAAGACGTGGATCGGTGGTTTGGGGGGTAGCGGGGATCCATCTTGGATTCCCCCCGCTGCCTCTTCAGCGGCGCCCCATAGGGGCATTTCCGCTCTACGAGGCCCACGGGGGGCGTGGTGAGGCAGGCCAGGTGCCGCCTCGCCTGCAGCTTCGGGCCAAGCTTAGCTCATGTTCACCCTGGACATGAGCTTAACATCGACAGCATCAATTACGCGAAGAAACAAACAAACAAACAAACAAACAAACAAGCAAAGAAACAAGTAAGCAAGCAAGCAAGCAAGCAAGCAAGCAAACAGACAAACAAACAAACAACAAGCAAACAAAACAAGCCAACAAACCAAAAAAACAAGATTCAAATATATCACTCGCATATGTGCGTATACACACATGATCTCTATGTTGGTGTTGGTGTACATCAGACATATATTATATCACTGCAGTAGTCTATTTCCAACCACCATGGTTGAGGGTGTTCCTTTTGATTTATTGCCATCTCACTCACGCTGCTTTGAAATCATGCATTGTCATTTGTCTGCGTTCTATGCTACTTCTGGGCTTGACGCTGATAGGGATGGAGAGCAGACTGGGCACTTGCATGGCTTGGCTTCATGAGGTTCTGTGATATCTCTGCTTCTGCCCAGAGCAAAAGTTGGGTGGGGTCCGTGGTCAGCGGATTTGCGACATGAAGATCTAAGCCAAGCAAATGACATGAAGACATGAAGGACCCTCCCTTCCCGGCAAGCCGACTGACGCCAGAAAGCCCACGCCTCAGCTGCATGGACCTTCTGCAGCTCCCCGGTGAGGTCGAAGCTGAAGAGTTTGGACTTGGCCAAGTAGTCGTGGGGCGGCAGCGCCTGGGTCGGAGGGCTGGCCGGCCAGGCGAATGGGGCGGGGTGGGCTGACGGGCAAGAAGATTGGTAACCGCAAGGCAAAGGGTATGCTCAACAGTGGAAACACCACGGATGGTGAGTGTAGAGAGTAGCCCTAAACTTGGGCTGGTTGGTGAAGCAGTTGATAGGATCGTCTTTCCCGGAACCGTTCAAATCGACATAGACTATAGATCAGCACCATGGCGAGATGTGCTCCAACAAGCACACACACAAACACACGTAGACAAACAAAGACACATGAGCGCACATGAACACGTACTGACACAAGAACAAGCACACATTCAACGCGCACACACACACAAACAGAAATAAACGGAGCCACAACTACAACAACAACACAACGTCCTGCTAAATCACAAGTTCACACACACATGCACAATTACACCATCACACGCAAAGACATACACACATAAGTCATCGTCAAAATTACTTGGCTGCGGTGTATTCAACTATTCATTCCGACGCTAGGCTGTCCCGTATCGTTGTTCAGGGCGTTTTCCACGTTTTGGGGTATCGTTGTTTTGGACATCCTGTCTCGTGTTACGAGAAACGAACAATAACAACATGAAACCGCTGGAAACGCTCCTACATAAAGTGAATGACAGTAAATTTGAGGCTGACTCACATGACAATAATAATCATACACACACAACCACACACGCAACATCACACAACATTGTACAAAACCACAGAATATCACACAACCAGGAACGTATGGAAGGTACATCTTGTGACCCAGTCTGCGGAGAAACTTATCCCTGCTGCATCATCATGCTCACACACACGTCCTTACATGCCTTTAAACATCACCCACAAAGGAATCTCAATGTCTCAATTGCCCACAAGGTAATGTTGAAATCAGCTCAAAGGAAGTATTGTTTTCCAAACACTTCCATGTTGGTTTGGGTGTGGGCATGGCACGTGCCATGAAGTGAATCAAGACTGGATGTGGCGCAATATTGAACTTATGAGGCAGAGCTCAAACATCTGTATCTGGTTCCACACACAATTGTTGGTCCTTCGCCCACACATAGCTCTCCATGTCGAGAAATGGGGATGTTGATGTCGTCCCGTTGACACAAAACGGCGCAGTTTGGCTATGATGTTGGCCCTGGTTGGGGAAAACAAGGCCATGTAAAGGCCCTGCAACCAAACAGGAAAGAGTCGGATCACCTGCAAGGCATCGTGTCGCCTCCACGACTTCGCGCTTGGACCGGCCCTGGCGAAGGAGCGTGTCGCGCAACTCGACAACAAACTGCTCGGCTCGGGATGGAAAAAGGAGAAAACCAGCGGCGTTTCGGCCCTGATGGTCGGTGAGATCTTGATGTCCTTTGTAAACTAGCGCCATTGAAGAACAAACATTGACCTCGCGCTTCAAGCCTTGACACCTCCAGCGAAATGGCCGGGCCTTTGCGCATTGTGCGAACTGCCCGCAACCTTCAGTGACGATTGTGAGGTTGTGCAATGACCTTGCCTTGACTTCGAAGGTTACAAGGCTGGCTTCCTTGAACTACCATGGGTTCTTTATTGGAGGATGTCGCTAAAGGGTCACTCATGTGGAACAACCACAAGGCAAGGGCGTCGTGAAGGCGCTGTGTTCTCTCGAGTCTGATGCACTGTGTGAGGCATCTTCGGGGCCCATGAGCGTGAATCAAGATACCCTCCAAATCATCCTTCAAGACCCCGAGAAGGCTCAAACAAAGGATCCCTCAATAACCCCGGGAAAATTCGAATACAACCTAGAAGGCCCAACAAGAAAACTTCGAAGACATCCGAGAAGGCCCAACAAGAAAACTTCGAAGACATCCTAGAAGGCCCAACAAGACAACTTCGAAGACATCCGAGAAGGCCCAACAAGAAAACTTCGAAGACATCCGAGAAGGCCCAACAAGAAAACTTCGAAGACATCCTAGAAGGCCCAACAAGAAAACTTTGAAGACATCCGAGAAGGCCCAACAAGAAAACTTCGAAGACATCCTAGAAGGCCCAACAAGACAACTTCGAAGACATCCGAGATCCTAGAAGGCCCAACAAGACAACTCCGAAGACATCCGAGAAGGCCCAACAAGAAAACTTCGAAGACATCCTAGAAGGCCCAACAAGACAACTTCGAAGACATCCGAGATGGCCCAACAGGAAAACTTCGAAGACAGCCTAGAAGGCCCAACAAGACAACTTCGAAGACATCCGAGAAGGCCCAACAAGAAAACTTCGAAGACAGCCTAGAAGGCCCAACAAGACAACTTCGAAGACATCCGAGAAGGCCCAACAAGAAAACTTCGAAGACATCCTAGAAGGCCCAACAAGACAACTTCGAAGACATCCGAGAAGGCCCAACAAGAAAACTTCGAAGACATCCTAGAAGGCCCAACAAGACAAACTTCGAAGACATCCTAGAAGGCCCAACAAGACAACTTCGAAGACATCCTAAGAAGGCCCAACAAGAAACTTCGAAGACATCCTCGAAGACATCCTAGAAGGCCCAACAAGACAACTTCGAAGACATCCGAGAAGGCCCAACAAGAAAACTTCGAAGACAGCCTAGAAGGCCCAACAAGACAATTTCGAAGACATCCGAGATGGCCCAACAAGAAAACTTCGAAGACATCCTAGAAGGCCCAACAAGACAACTTCGAAGACATCCGAGAAGGCCCAACAAGAAAACTTCGAAGACAGCCTAGAAGGCCCAACAAGAAAACTTCGAAGACATCCTAGAAGGCCCAACAAGACAACTTCGAAGACATCCGAGAAGGCCCAACAAGAAAACTTCGAAGACATCCTAGAAGGCCCAACAAGACAACTTCAAAGACATCCTAGAAGGCCCAACAAGACAACTTCGAAGACATCCTAGAAGGCCCAACAAGACAACTTCGAAGACATCCGAGAAGGCCCAACAAGAAAACTTCGAAGACATCCTAGAAGGCCCAACAAGACAACTTCGAAGATATCCGAGAAGGCCCAACAAGAAAACTTCGAAGACATCCTAGAAGGCCCAACAAGACAACTTCGAAGACATCCGAGATGGCCCAACAAGAAAACTTCGAAGACAGCCTAGAAGGCCCAACAAGACAACTTCGAAGACATCCGAGAAGGCCCAACAAGAAAACTTCGAAGACAGCCTAGAAGGCCCAACAAGACAACTTCGAAGACATCCGAGAAGGCCCAACAAGAAAACTTCGAAGACATCCTAGAAGGCCCAACAAGACAACTTCGAAGACATCCGAAAAGGCCCAACAAGAAAACTTCGAAGACATCCTAGAAGGCCCAACAAGACAACTTCGAAGACATCCGAGAAGGCCCAACAAGAAAACTTCGAAGACATCCTAGAAGGCCCAACAAGACAACTTCGAAGACATGCTAGAAGGCCCAACAAGAAAACTTTGAAGACATCCTAGAAGGCCCAACAAGAAAACTTTGAAGACATCCTAGAAGGCCCAACAAGTCAACTTCGAAGACATCCGAGAAGGCCCAACAAGAAAACTTCGAAGACATGCTAGAAGGCCCAACAAGACAACTTCGAAGACATCCTAGAAGGCCCAACAAGAACACTTTGAAGACATCCTAGAAGGCCGAACAAGAAAACTTCGAAGACATCCTAGAAGGCCCAACAAGAAAACTTTGAAGACATTGTAGAAGGCCCAACAAGAAAACTTCGAAGACATCCTAGAAGGCCCAACAAGACAACTTCGAAAACATCCGAGAAGGCCCAACAAGAAAACTTCGAAGACATCCTAGAAGGCCCAACAAGAAAACTTTGAAGACATCCTAGAAGGCCCAACAAGAAAACTTTGAAGACATCCTAGAAGGCCCAACAAGAAAACTTCGAAGACATCCTAGAAGGCCCAACAAGAAAACTTTGAAGACATCCTAGAAGGCCCAACAAGAAAACTTTGAAGACATCCTAGAAGGCCCAACAAGAAAACTTTGAAGACATCCTAGAAGGCCCAACAAGAAAACTTCGAAGACATCCTAGAAGGCCCAGAAGCACCCCAAGAAGAAAACTTCGGACATCCTAGAAGGCCCAACAAGAAAACTTTGCAGACATCCTAGAAGGCCCAACAAGAAAACTTTGAAGACATCCTAGAAGGCCCAACAAGAAAACTTCGAAGACATCCTACAAGGCCCAACAAGACAACTTCGAAAACATCCGAGAAGGCCCAACAAGACAACTTCGAAGACATCCTAGAAGGCCCAACAAGAAAACTTTGAAGACATCCTAGAAGGCCCAACAGGGAAACTTTGAAGACATCCTAGAAGGCCGAACAAGAAAACTTCGAAGACATCCTAGAAGGCCCAACAAGAAAACTTTGAAGACATCCTAGAAGGCCCAACAAGAAACTTCGAAGACATCCTAGAAGGCCCAACAAGAAAACTTTGAAGACATCCTAGAAGGCCCAACAAGAAAACTTTGAAGACATCCTAGAAGGCCAACAAGAAAACTTTGAAGACATCCTAGAAGGCCCAACAAGAAAACTTTGAAGACATCCTAGAAGGCCCAACAAGAAAACTTCGAAGACATCCTAGAGAGCCCAACAAAGAAAATTCGAAGACATTTGAAAGACATCCCATCCTAGAAGGCCCAACAAGACAACTTCGAAGACATCCTAGAAGGCCCAACAAGAAAACTTTGAAGACATCCTAGAAGGCCCAACAAGAAAACTTTGAAGACATCCTAGAAGGCCAACAAGAAAACTTTGAAGACATCCTAGAAGGCCCAACAAGAAAACTTTGAAGACATCCTAGAAGGCCCAACAAGAAAACTTCGAAGACATCCTAGAAGGCTCAACAAGAAAACTTTGAAGACATCCTAGAAAGCCCAACAAGACAACTTTGAAGACATCCTAGAAGGCTTCGAAGACATCCTGGAAGGCCCAACAAGAAAACTTTGAAGACATCCTAGAAGGCCAAACAAGAAGACTTTGAAGACATCCTCCAACAAGAAAACTTCGAAGACAGCCTAGAAGACCCAACAAGAAAGCTTCGAAGACATCCTAGAAGGCCGAACAAGAAAAGAGTGACGCATGCATAGCAATGAATGGCCCTGCCATTCTAATTGCGCCAGTAGTCTAGTGGCAGGATACTTCCCATTTTTGCTGAGATCAAACCGAAATCGATGGTTCAAAATGTGGAGGGAAGGAGTTCTCTTTCCCTAGCGGCGCAAAGAGCGTCACAGTGTAGATTGCGGACCCAACAAGACAACTTCGAAGACATCCGAGAAAGCCCAACAAGAAAACTTTGAAGACATCCTAGAAGGCCCAACAAGAAAACTTCGAAGACATCCTAGAAGGCCCAACAAGAAAACTTCGAAGACATCCTAGAAGGCCCAACAAGAAAACTTTGAAGACATCCTAGAAGGCCCAACAAGGAAAACTTCGGAAAACATTCCAAGAAGGCCCAGCAACAAAACTATGGAAGACCCATCCTAGAAGGTCCCAACAGAAAACTTTCTGACATCCTTAGAAGTCCCAACAAAAACTTCGAAGACATCCTAGAAGGCAACAAGAAACTTTTTGAAGACATTCCTAGAAGGCCAACAAGAACTTTGAAGACCATTCCTAGAAGGTCCACAACAAGAAAAAATTTATCGAAGACATTTCCTAGAAGGCCACGGCCCACCAAAAAAAACTTTAAAAACATCCTAAAAGGCCCAACAAGAAACTTCGAAAGACATCCTAGGAGGCCCAACAAGAAAACTTCGAAGACATCGGGAAAAAGCCCAACAAGAAAACTAGAAGGCCCACCAAAAAAACTTTAAAAACATCCTAAAAGGCCCAACAAGAAAACTTCGAAGACATCCTAGAAGGCCCAACAAGAAAACTTCGAAGACATCCGGGAAAGCCCAACAAGAAAACTTCGAAGACATCCGAGAAGGCCCAAGAAAACTTCGAAGACATCCTAGAAGGCCCAACAAGAAAACTTCGAAGACATCCTAGAAGGCCCAACAAGAAAACTTCGAAGACATCCTAGAAGGCCCAACAAGAAAACTTCGAAGACATCCTAGAAGGCCCAACAAGAAAACTTCGAAGACATCCTAGCAGGCCCAACAAGAAAACTTTGAAGACATCCTAGAAGGCCCAACAAGAAAACTTCGAAGACATCCTAGAAGGCCCAACAAGAAAACTTCGAAGAGAGAAGGCCCAAGAAAACATCCTAGAAGGCCCAACAAGAAAACTTCGAAGACATCCTAGAAGGCCCAACAAGAAAACTTCAAGACATCCTAGAAGGCCCAACAAGAAAACTTCGAAGACATCCTAGCAGGAAGACATCCAGAAGGCCCAACAAGAAAACTTTGCAGACATCCTAGACATCCTAGAAGGCCCAACAAGAAAACTTCGAAGACATCCTAGAAGGCCCAACAAGAAAACTTCGAGACATCCTAGAAGGCCCAACAAGAAAACTTCGAAGACATCCTAGAAGGCCCAACAAGAAAACTTCGAAGACATCCTAGAAGGCCCAACAAGAAAACTTCGAAGACATCCTAGAAGGCCCAACACGAAAACTTCGAAGACATCCTGGAAGGCCCAACAAGACAGACATTCGAAGACATAGAAGGCCCAACAAGAAAACTTCGAGACATCCTAGAAGGCCCAACAAGAAAACTTCGAAGACATCCTGAAGGCCCAACAAGAAAACTTCGAAGACATCCTAGAAGGCTCAACAAGAAATCTCCGAAGACATCCTAGAAGGCCCAACACGAAAACTTCGAAGACATCCTGGAAGGCCCAACAAACTGCGGAAGAGCATCAACCCAAGTTCTTCGCCAACACATCCAAACAGCACATCCAGGTCCGGGCCTTTGCCATGGGTTGGATGGCTATCAGAGAGCCGCATGGCAACGGACATCGCAGTGTGCGCAACACCCAACCGGCGGGTTGGTTCGACCGTGACGCCTGAATGCATTGAAATTCGTCGTGGAAAAGAACAACAAGGAAAACGACTACCATCTGGCAAAAGGCTTTAGGATAACCTAGAGGATCATAATGCTGGCGTACTGGCACAAAGATTGCCGCAACTTGACATCCGCATCCTGCTTGTCGTCGGCGCAATCAACAAAGTAAGTTCAACCGAATGCAAAGGCCCCACTTTTCACTTCGAAAGGGCCTCAAAGGTGTACGTGCGTGCGTGGTCCACAACTTGATTAAAAAAGAGATTCGAGGCAGTACACCAGATCTTCTATGGCTCTAACGATTCATGCAAGCTCAATATAAAAGCTAGACTGCTAGCTGTGCTATGCCAGGCATCTTCCGTTGACTCGTGAGTTCTTCACACATCCAGTGTCACGCAGGACAACAAGTCGCTTTTTTTCAGTCCGCAACGGTCTGTCAGCCAGAATAGGTTGCGAGACTGCCATTAGTCAAACATTTGAATAAGTGTCTCAGGTTCGCATGCCAGCCATGGAAGCTCACTGTGCATCCCGAAAGGCAAGCCATCTGCCTAACGTCCAAGCAGTCTGGACCATCGCTGACCGACAAAACCGGAAAATGCCCTCTGACAAGTGTTCCACTGTACACATTCCACTTGTCAAGCGAGTGAATTCGGACAGCACGCAGCCCCTAAATCCGAGGGTTGCGTGCACGTGAGACGCAAGTTCAAGCCTTGCCATGTTGGCAAGAGGTCTCGCATAAGCTACTCAATCACCTCGGACATGCATCGTTGTGGAGAAGGATGGAGTGCGAAAGTCACCCAGGGCAGTACGAAAATAATACTCAAAAACACAGATTCAAAGGGCAAGAGGTATTGCAGCGCAAGGCCTCTCTGTCAGTATACAGTCCTCATTCACTTTTGGGGTTCAGCCAAGCAAGATGGGCTGAGAACAACCCGTTGACGGCCCTTGTAACCGTATACCCTGGTATCGGGTAGTATCGTTTTTCCTTTGCATCGGTTTGCAGTGCTTTGGCAGCTCTAGCTCGAAGTCACACCTTTTCAGTCCAAGTGCAGTACGCAGCACACTTTGGCAGCTCCGGCTCGAAAGTCGAAACTTTTCAGTGCAAATGTGGTCCACAAAACGCATTTTGGCAGTGGATGGCTTCGGCATGACGGCAAATGAGTTGGCTATCGGCTACACATGTCTGACTCCGCAAATCTTGGTTTGCGAGAACAACTTGGGCCTGATGTATCTTCATGGCTTCTACATGACAGGTATCGTTGTCTTGCCTCAGCATCGGTTTGCAGTGTTCCGCGCATGCAAAGAAAGTTAAGGGGCGGGTGCTTTCATAACGAACAGGCGCTGGGTTTCTTTTTCGATCCACATGGATTGGCCCGTGGTCTTGGATGCATCACACGTATTGGGGAAGCGACGCAAGTAGATGCGAACACTTGCCAGGTTGACAGTCAGTAGTTCAACTGCCGAGAGGTTTCGATGATTCGAGGAACACAATTGTTCGCCGTCTGCCGCTGCCAATGAGGCACCGCTGACTTGCAAGCTCAACAAGCGGTTCACATACCGTTGCCAAGCACAGCTGGCAGTGGAGTAGGTACAAGCAATATTGTGTTCCCAGTTCAGAACTATGGGACTATGGGCATAAGCAATCGAATCGTCGGCATATTCATCATCCACAGAGTACCTCCGGACAAGCAAATTCCCTTTGGACATGACAAAAGGCTTCATCCAAGTTTCTTACATGTCCCCTCTAGACATCACCCCACCAAGTGGAAACTCTCCCAAAATTGGGCAAACAAGCTAATGCTTGAGCCATTCAACAAGACTGTCAGAACTCCTGCGGATGCATGTGTGTGTGTGTCACAATAGGGGTACCCTCAAAAATGCACAAAGCCCTGTCCAAAGGACCATGGTCTTCTAAACTTCCAATACACGCCGCACGCTATCCTTCCTCTCCCGCCCAAAAGCCCAGGGGCTCTCCAAGCAGCAGGATCTCTGCAGCACCGAGAGCCTGAACCCCGGCGAACCGCAGCAAGCGAAGGCGGAAGCAAAGCAAACTGTCGAAGGGGCAACCGGGCAACCGCCTGTTGATCCAAAGGTCAATGAAATAATGAACATTTCCGTAGGCGCAGCCGCAGCCCAACTTGTTCCTTATGCAATAGTAGAGAGTGCAATGCCTTGCAATACACGCACCACAAACCAGTCCAGTACTAGAGTGAGGTTTGTCGGGGGATATAGTCAACAATATGTCTGTTAAGCAAACAGCACCAATGCGACAGTCAAACTTTCATCAGAGCTTGTGCTTTCCCAGCTGCCCATGGACACAAACCCGCGCCGGCTTCTTTCTACATGCGTGTGGCTCTACCACAGGTATGCCCATTCACATTATCGCCCTACACTAACCCCTAACTAACATGAAACCAACTGGATTGAAATGGAACATAGAAGCCAGTATATCCACCAAGCCGGGTTGCATTATACTGGGTTGCATTATACCGGTAGCAACAACTAACACGCACGACAGGTTTTATTATTATTTTTGCCGGCTGCCCTGGCCTGGAGAAGCCAGCGCGTTGATCAAAGGGAAGCACGTAAATGCATCCATTCACTTCCGGTGCCACTTAAAAACAACCATACCAGTCGTGATGAGAAAAGCATCATGAATCATGCCAGAATACCCACCAAACTCTCCAAGACAGCAGTTTTGGGCAGTCATGCGCTAATTGGACCATCCTTTCGTGGGGTTCATCAGCACTCTCTGGCGCTCCCCGTTTTGCACCACAACACTTATGACCAAACATATGGCATGGGGGAGAAGGATCGTCATCTTCTAACTGAAGAAACTAACTTGGCCAAGTGCGCCCTGAGAGGCTTCAGCATTTTGGCCCGAGGTTTCCTGTTGTCCGTGCGAAACAACTTCTGAGCCCGCCTTCGGCCTCGGCAGGTCCGCTAAACCTGCCGAAGTGTCGATCCAGGTCAATGGGGTCAAAATGTCCTTCCGCACTAGCCACTCTAGCAGTGCACTTCCGGAAGACGGTCTGTATGTACAAAGCACTTAACAAGAGCAGCACCCACACTCACAAGCTGACTGACTGACAGCAGGTTTATCGCGCAAAACAACTTAAACTTATACTATGTTGTTTTTGTCTGACTTGATCTCAACTTTCGGTCTTGAGCACTGGACGAGGTCCGTCCACAGAGAGTCTGCGGAATCGGCCTGCAAAAGACTGCTGCTTGGACATTGCGCGCGGCGCCAAAGGGCCTTGATTCCGACACAACGTCGGTGGGCGAGGGGGGGAGTGGGGTGCTGCCAACCATAGCAACCTGTGGCTATGACGTGGCTGTGTTCCTTCTGTTCAATAACCCTGTGTGGCTCCTCTACGGCCATGGCCATATCTAGCTAGAAGCAGTTGAAGGCTAGCTAATGATGGCAGGCGATTCATGCCGATCCGAACTGCTCAAGGCATCTACCGCTGCATGGTGAGTCACTTGAGTTCCGCATGCTGAATGCTTCGACCGACTGTCACTAAGTGGGAGCAGAGTCCTATGACTGCCTCATTGAAGCGTTGCCATGGTCAAAGCTACAGGTGACACCCCACCTGGGTGCTCAATCGGCCAGATGTAACCAACCTGCAGCACCTATTTGTCCTTCGTGGCCGCTCACATGTGCGGACTTGAATTAGACAACCGCAGGAGTACAACCGGCCGCGCCACACTCTTCACGGGCCTTGTCCGACACACACACACAGAAACACACATAAAACACACACACACAAACACACACACACACAGAAACACACACACACAAACAAACACACACACACAAACACACAAACACACAAACACACACACACACACACAGAAACACAGAAACACAGAAACACAGAAACACAGAAACACAGAAACACAGAAACACAGAAACAAACACACAAACACACAAACACACAAACACACAAACACACAAACACACAAACACACGAACACACACACACACAAACACACACACACACAAACACACACACACAAACAAACACACACACACACAAACACACACACAAACACACAAACACACACACACACAAACAAAACAAACACACAAAAACACACAAAAACACAAAAAACACACAAACACAAACACAAACACAAACACAAACACAGACAGACAGACAGACAGACAGGCAGACAGACAGACAGACAGACAAACAAACAGACACACACACAAACACACACACAGACACACACACACACAAACACACAAACACACACACAAACAAAACAAACACACAAAAACACACAAAAACGCAAAACACACACACACAGAAACACACACACACACACGCACAACCGCGGAGGTACGACCGGCAGCCCGCACACTCTTAACTTAACCGAGACACACACACACGTTACATTTAAAAAAATGTGTGTATATATATATATATATATATGCTCACCCCCCCCCTGCATGATCCACCTTTTTAGCTAAAATGAAGGATCTCATCTGTCATTTGCCCCTTCCTTCATCGCATCTGCCAGGCATCTGCGCCTGCTTCGCTCTCCTGCACCACACCTGTCAGGCTCTTAATGCGCTCTCTTCACCTGTCGGGCTCCTAACGCGGTATGTCTATTGCGCCATACGCTTTCACTTGAAATGCCATTGCCAGTGCTTTGGGTCAAGCTCTCTAAGCTCTGTGATCTCAATCCTCTGCTCTGAAAGATGGTGGAGCCAGGCGCCGTGTACTTGGACGACATCCAGGGGCAGGTGGAAAACGCTGGTGGACCTGTCCAGCTACACCTTTCAAGATGTCGGGCTTTGTGGACACGCCGATCTACGATATGCGGGAGCAAGGCATGGTCAAGTGTGTGATCGACGTGGCCCCGGACGTCCCGGGGCCAATTCCCAAAACCAACTTAAGGAGATTCTGCTTGCAGGTGGTCCGCTACACACGCTACCAGCACCCTTTGGCCTCTCCACAGAGACGCAGCTACGCTTCTCGCTCGGCCTCCTCAAAACAAGGACCGGCTCCTTGCGCGCAAGGTCAGGAACATGAAGGGCAAAGTGAAGGTCCAAACAGCCCGCCAGCTGTGCCCAAGTCAGGTCCACACCATGCGCAATCTCTGCTATGTCATTGAGAACTTGGGCGGCTCCCAGTGTAAGCAGCACTCTCTGCGGTGCCAGGAGGAATGGGACTTTGGCTTTGCCTTCATCAAGCGGCCCGCGCAAGGATGTCAAGCACAAGCAGCTTCACTGGATTACCATCCAGACCTCTCGCCAGGAGGTGGAAAAGAGCTGGAGGAACCTTGCCAATGATGGCGTGCTTGCGCAAGTCCAGGAGAGCTGGCCGTTAACTCTGTACGACCGGGCAAGACACCGGTTGCCAGAACCTTTGCAATGGCTATCTCCAGGCCTCAACAAGCTTGGCAAGGAAGGGCAGGCCACACCATCATTTGACTTCACGAGACACTGGTTCGATGACGGAAGTCTGTCCGAGAAGGTGGAAGCCTATACTGATGTGGGAGCATGTCCAGAGAACGATGGGGCGCCGCCAAGTGGGTCAAGGGCCAGTTCCGCGTGTACTGCGTGAATCACTTCAATGGCAAGGCGGAGCCAGAGGACGATATGCCCGTCGTGCCCAAGAGGGCAGGGCAACCATCTTGCATAAGCCACACCGCTTTCATGCAGATCTTGGATGCGAAGGAGGTGAACGAGAGCAACATCATGGCTGTGCTCAGGCGGACCCACCTCTTTGTGAGCTTCTTGCGCATCCGCCCTGCAGGTGAAGTCGCGTGTCATCTATGACCGCCGTCGCAAAGGCGGCACGGATTTGCCTGCGGGCTTTGAGACAAAGTTGCAGTGGGAGAAGAAGTGGATGGGCCGCAATGTCCGGGAAGACCGGCGACGCTTTGCCTACAAGAACCTTCGTCAAGAACACGCATCTGTTCCCCGAACTGCACGAGAACGATGGTGGCGACTATTTCTAAATCCCCTGGAACTATTTCTAAACTCCCAGGAACTATTTATAAATCAAGGAAGGAGAACTGTTTAATCCCCCAGCCCACCCCTGGCCCCCCAACCAGCCCTAAATCCGGGAAGCCCAGAAACTGGTCCAAGCCCAAATCCACAACCCCACTACCCTCTTTGGTTGTTTTTGCAGGGGGAGCAGAGTAGTTGTTGAAGTGTTAATCTGTGGACCACCCCAGAAGCCCGTTCGCGACTACTTGGTCGCAGGATGGCAGAATGTCCCAGAAATCCAAAGACGAGGTTGCCTCCTATTTCAAAACCTTGGGCATCCAACGTGGCCGTGGCTATTCATCGACCTTGCCACCTGGAGCTCGCGTGAATCAGCGAGAGAAGCACATCCTGGATATCCACGCAGAGCTAATTCGAGCAACCAGGCCGCACAATCAGCAACCGGGGCCTGGATTTCAATCCTTCAGGAAAAACATTTGGTTCCAGCCGATCCAGCCACTCCTCCATCACTATCTATCGTCTATCGTTGTCACAACTTGATTGAAATTGGAAACAGAAGAGACATGTTGTAAGGGAGTGTCCAAACAACACAAGGCTTCCGACAACACCTTCAGCAAGGCAACATTGAATTGATAATTGATAGCCCCTTAGCATTCAACAGCTTAAGCTCAGGCTTGGACATAGATGATCGATGTTCGCGGGCAATGAACCAGATAGAAACCGCTCGGAACCGCTCTGAACCGTTTGTATGGTTGCTCCATGTTGTATGCTTATAAATAGTTCGGAACCGCTCGGAACCGTTCTGAACTATTTGCAACTTTGACTTCACATATAGTTCGGAACCGTTGGAAACCGTTCGGAACTATTTGTACACCCAAACCCAATATAGTTCCATATAGTTCCATATAGTTCCATATAGTTTCATATAGTTTCAACTAGTTTCAGGTTTACAATTAGTTCAGAACCGTTTGGAACCGTTCGGAACTATTTCCAAGACTCATGTTATGAATAGTTCCAAACCGTTTGAAACCGTTCAGAACTATTTGCACAACTTGTTAGAAACCGTTCGGAACCGTTGCACGCTACTTATGGACTCATGCTTTCAGAAATAGCCCAGAACCGTTTGGAACCGTTTCTGAATTTGTGCGAGCACTGCCGATCTGTGTTTGTGTTAGCTAGTTAGTTAGTTAGTTAGTTAGTTAGTTAGTTAGTTAGTTAGTTAGTTAGTTAGTTAGAGATAGTTAGTTAGTTAGTTAGTTAGTTAGTTAGTTAGTTAGTTTTTTAGTTAGTTAGTTAGTTAGTTAGTTAGTTAGTTAGTTAGTTAGTTAGTTAGTTAGTTAGTTAGTTAGTTAGTTCAGTTAGTTAGTTAGTAGTTAGTTAGTTAGTTAGTTGGTTAGTTAAAGTTAGTTGGTTGGTTAGTTAGTTAGTTAGCTAGTTAAGTTAGTTAGTTAGTTAGTTAGTTAGTTAGTTAGTTAGTTAGTTAGTTAGTTAGTTAAGTTAGTTAGTACTGTACTGCACTGCACTGTACTGTACTGTACTGTGCTGTGCTGTGCTGTGCTGTACTGTACTGTAAGTAAGTAAGCAAGCATCAGGCATCAGTAAGCTGATCAGCAGCTTAGCTTATCTTATTTGTATGTTCCAACATGGGAACAGCAATTTCCAGGAATAACATCAATGTAACACACATGTCAAGGCATGGCGTCGCGAGGCAAAAAGTAAAGTGAAAGTCACTTTTTGCAACGGGACTGACAGGACTCGGACTTGTCATTGGTTAAAGCTGGAAAGTGTTTTGCGAGCTAGCCGAGCTAGCATTCGACCAGTGTCATCCTGGTTTTTCGGTTATTAAATTCTGAGCCTCTACTTGGTGGGAAAAGAGACTGTTCAGGACACCGCCGCATCGTGGCGCACTGAGGCACGCGGCATCAACCCTGCAGGAGCTCGCTGCATATCAGACTTGGCACGCCGGGGCCCTAAGCTCTAGCCGCTAGCCAAATCAACGGTGCTGGGGAGCTTGTGTCCCGCAAACACTCGGCTGGCCATGCAAGTTGACTTGGGGACCAAGACAACTTAGAGTCTTAGAGTCAGTAGTAATAAAACGAACAACGCTAGCGCAGCTGCTCACACTGAGAACAGACTCGTAGCACTCAGAAGTCAGAAAAATGTTAGATCATGAGTCATTGTTCAATCAAATGCTTCAACTTTGCAGGAGGGTAACGGAGGGTAGCTTTACTTTGCAGGACTAAATGTGCGCAGGTCGGTCAGACCGCTATTTGCTAGGTTCACTCAACTCAGGCACATTGTCAAATGCTGTTGACCATTTGAAGGACAACTTCAACTATGGTTCAGTTTCAGAACACCCTCGGCGATCGATGTAGGCAAATTTGGCCACTAAACTAAGCTGTCGTCATAGAGGTGGGGAAGCAACAAGAGACCCTTGTTTCCCAGGCTCGCTGGGCCGCGAGCAGTACCAGGTTGGCTCATCTCAGCGATCACAACTGGTGTCAAGTTGTGGGATTGGTCTGCACAAGACTTCTTGACGGGGGAGGACTGGGCTGCAAAACATGATGTGACCAGGGCCATCCATGTGAGTTACAAAAAAAGGGAACAAAAGCACCCTTAAACACAAGTCCGATCAAGTCCTAGTCATTCCGAGCTACCCTTTTCAAGGGTGATGAGAGTCAGCGTGACAGGTTGCTCTGAGCCCTCGCAGGAGCTGTTGACACTACAGGGGTTCAATGTGGCCAAGCTGGACCTTACTGGCAGGTCATATTCAGAGCTAAACCGGCTCGCTGGCTGCTCGGCTGCCTTGTCAGCGCCCAGCGCCCTAGCTAGTCTTCGCTGCCAAGCGATACTTTCGAAGCTCATTACAATGTTTAGGTTATCAAAGCAACAGTAAGCCACCACTTGATTCAGTGAGTCAGTCTAATCAATCATTGCCCGCTTGCTTCAACTTCTCAGAAACCATCAACTGAATTGAGAGCCAGCTCAGAGGATTCCTGGTCAGTGCCTGTGGCTGCCTCCATCATTTTGAGTGTGATTGCGGGAATACTCCCTGGAAAGTTCGGCCGGTACAGCTAGCTGCAGACCCAATTGAAACTTGGCCTACTCAACAGCCTGATGAGGATGGCGTCTGTGAGGAAAGCGGTTCCGTGACAGAGACGGAGCCTGATACCACTGATACCTTTGAGTCAATCGTGCCACATGTTGGCACAACATTTGCAGCAAACCAGGTCACTCCAGAAATGCCTGACATTGCTTGTGATGTTTGCTACCAAGCAATTGTGATGGGAAATTGCCAAATGTGCTGGGTCCATGATTCTGGACACAAAGTCTGGTTTCATGCTGAGTGCTGCCCAACCTTTGCCAGCCAAGAAGGCAAGGAGTTTGATGTGTTGCAAGCTCTTGTAGACTGTCAGGGGCCCCAAAACCCAGTGGTCCAAATCGCGATCACAGAGGCCATTAGTACGTTGATGGACATCACTGACGACAATCTCAACCCGCAAGTAAAGCTTGAGGGGTGAGGCAGACATCCACCTGAACAACCAACTGTTGACTTGTTTCCTCTTGCTCAGCACTTCATTTAGATTGGATGCAAAGAAGGTGACCAAAGGTGGCTTGCTGGATTTGCACTGATGCACTGGTGCTAGTTTTGCGCCCACAGTCCATGGCCTGCTTGCGTGCCCAGTGTGGTGGTTGAAGTGGGGTCGCGCCCGCTGAGCACTCTTAGACTTAGGGTAGGCCATTTAGCGCTTGGGCATGTTACTGGTGACGGTTGGCCACAGGGTCCTAGCGTTGCTCGGCAGTCAAAAACAGAAGCGGCAGCTGGCCCTTGCAGCCTGCCAAGTGAAACACTGATTTCAGCCGCGCTCCTTCGCCCGACCCTTTCTTTGACTTGCAGCCTCAGTGAGTCTTTGTGTGATAGGCTGGCTAGGCAGATTTGACCTGCGAGCAACCTATGGCAGACGCAAGTGAGCGCCACGATGATGCTTCTGACGACGAGGCGGAGGAGTGGCCTGAGGGCCAATGCGGCCTGTGCGAGCAATCCTTTGAGCAGCAAGACGAGGACTGCTTGAACCTACCAAACCCGTCACTTAGCATTTAGTGGGACAGTGCAACCTTGAATCTAGAAGCTGTGGCAAACAGTGCAGAACAGCACTGCCAGTAACACATAGGGCAAGGCAATTCCAGAGTCTGTAAATTGATGTCTGTTGGGCGCCCCTAGTGGTGACAAGACTCTTGACAACACCCAACACACATCACAGACCAATCAGTTGGATTGCATCCGAATTCTCGTCCCATGCTTCTTTGGCACAGGATGCGCCGCCGGGCACAGCCTTGTTGGTGAGCCCACGCGGCGTCAGCCACGGCATGTGCCTACGCTGCTACTACATCAAGCGTGGCTCCTTCGGGGGGCTAAAGAGTGGAGAGCTCAGGAGGCTGATGAGGAAAAACATCGCCTTGAAGGACAAGTTTCTCAGCCTGAGCCTAGTCAGTGTTGAAAGGTTCGTTCGGTTTGTATATTATTTGAAATTGAAATTATATTATATTTGATTCTTTGATATTTGGAAAAAAAATTTCCGCAAAATCAAAAGGGTGCCGTCACTGTCGTACTGCACCTTTCAATCCCTTGTCAAAAGTGCCAAGGCCCAACAGGGTTTAAGTTGTGGCATGCCAACCCTCAGACCCAAGGTTCCGATCCCTCCGCCGAAAGCAAGTGCGAGCCAGCTCTCGCAATCCAAAGGCGAGACCCCGTCATGAGACGGTGGATGTTCGGCTCTACACGGAGCGGAGGGATGAGTCCTACGTGGACATGTGGCAAGCCGCTGGCTCGCACGAATCAAACACTCTCAGTGAGACAGTCTCAGTCTGTGTGAAACTTGTCTTGTTTGTGAAACTATCCGACTCCTGCTGCTCTTGCTACACACAAACGCTACAGACCCAAACGTTGCAAGTTGCCTGTTACAAGTTCCAAGGGTTTCCCGAACCAAGTCCCACATACTCTAAGGGCCCCAAGTAGTTGTCAGGTGTCCGGGGTTGGAAAACCAAGACAACTCTTTCTCAACAACCACAAGCGGACCCATAGGACTTTTCAGTCTTAGTCTTATGGGGCGGCATTGTCATCTCATGCTTGCTGAGGAGGGCGAATGGATGAGCCTCAAGGACTACGTGGAGGCCAAGCTGGACCCCGAGACCCAGAAGAAACTCAAGACAACTGCCCAAAAGCGCTCCTACGTGACCAAGGTTCCTTGGTTGTGCTAAGGGGCTTGGGCTTGCCCCTTTTCAACCAATTGACTCCAATTGACACACAACAGATTGTGAGAGACCTTGACTTGGCCCTTTCAAGAGAACCCTAAACCCTCTCCTCTCCACTGTCCACTATAAAAGACATTGATTATTCCATTCCTGATATTCCGATTCCATTATTCGGATATTCCGATTTTGGGTTCGGGTTAACAATGGGCTTTTGATGGGAGGTGGTGAAGGGTTCAACCGGACATGAGAGGACCATCATGAATCATGACAATTTTTGTAGTTTGTAACTGCGTTGCTACAACACAAAGGCACACTTGCGCGTGGGCCTTCAACTAAGTTTGGGGTGACAAACGCTCGGCTCAAAGCAAAAGGGCCGGACTCGGCCGGACCATTCATGTTCGTGTGGCCTTTGACCTTTGTCTTTTCAGTGGGGTAGAGTGACTGGCAACGCACGAGCCAAGGTTTTGGGATTGAAGATCCAACAGGACTGGAGCCAGTTTCAAGCAAACTGTTTGCCATCAGAATCAGAGTCATGACATAGAATTGAATGGACTAGAATCATGTGTGTTGCGCACACTTTCACTTGTTCGAGCAGTGTCCAACTCTCCACTCGCAGGATGACTTGGGCGTGGAGGGGGTGATCATATTGCCTGAGTCCAAGACCAAGCGGGTTCGGATGGGCACGAGGAAGAGCTCAAGTCGGGTCAAACAAGGAGAACACGCTGATGGAAAGGACATGGATGTGGCGCACCAGAAGAACAAGTCCAATTTGGAGTTGGAGGTGAACACCAAGGACTCTAGTTTCATAAGCAGCCTCTCATTCTGCCAGTTAACAAGAGAAGAAGCAATCATTAAACTGCCCCACACAACATGTTCGACCTGAGGGCATAGTTACTTGATGTTTGCCCACCTTTCTCAAAAACTTTCGTTCACCCCCTCTGCCAGGACGAAGAGGCAAAGGCCCTTGGCAGTGCGCCAGATGCTGAAGAGGAGGATGAACATATCCAGGGTCCAGAAGATGACGGGGATGAGTCTTCCCAGGAAATGTTTGGTTTCGCCACTGCTGCGCCCAAGGCTTCAAAGGCTGGTGCTGCAACCAAGAGAAGGGTAACCCCGGTGTCAGAAGCTGCCAATTCTGGGGATCACAAATCAGAAAAAAAAGCCCATGTCAAAGCTGATGACGGCAATAGAGACAACAAGCTCGCCAAGATCAACCGGGCAAAGGAGAACCTGAACTTCTTGGAGCGGCTGTCCCCCCTGGCAGTTTGGCACGGGTCCGTGAAGGAGAAGGACTTGCAGTTCAAATTGGACAAGTGCTGCAAGCTGAGTGAGCAACTCACCAATGAGTTCACAGATGAGGATGCGCATAACATCGCCAAGGAGTTGTATGAAAAGATGGGCAAGATTCTTGAGTGGCAGGACACTTTGGGCGACCTCACAACTGCCATCACATCAACTGACCCCTTTGCGAAAGCGCTTCAGCTCACGCCCCAGCACTACGCCGTCTTGCGGACACTCGCAGCCGACTGCTTGAATTCAATCCTCACCGACTTCGGGCGCAAGATGACAGAGGCGATCTACAGTTCCTTCCAAATTCAAGTTCGGCCCAATAGGAAGGACACAGCGCTATTGTTGGACAGCCATCTAAGGAACCGAACAACTCTCAAAACTCTGCAAAACTGTTTCCAATTTATTTGCGCCGCAAAAGAAACACAGCTAGGCTGCCTGGGCTAGCTAGTTTAAGTACAAGGTAAGGTCACGGAGGAACGTTTAAGCAAGGAACAACACCACAATGCTGAAAAACAATGACTAAGAACACTAAGACTAAGACTAAGACTCAGACTAAATCAATGGACATGGACGTGGATGAGGAGTGATGCCCGCGATAAAAAACCACCAAGCGCGGCTTGCGATGAATCGAAAAGGAGTTTGCAATTGTTCATTGATGTCGCACATGCCTAAGCGCATGCCTTACACTGATGCATGCGCATTCTGAAGGCCATTGTCTTTTTCAAGAAGCCCTGTAGCTGTGTTGTAAGGCCATGCCCAAGCGAGTGAAAAAGACCGGGCAGAAGCCCGCTGCTGCCTGGCCACCACCCAAGCAAGGTAAAGCCAGAGCAAACAGCCAAAACTGCAAGAGCAAAGCGCAGTGCAAGAACGCGCCGCAGGTGCCGTATGAGAACGGACAAAAGAAATTTCAGAAGCAGAGGAACCATGGGGAGTCTCAGTGCAAGACATGGCGACAATGAAGGGATTCGAGGACGAGGGGTCCTGAACAAGTGGGAGAAGAAAGTGTGTCCTCGTTGCGCAAGCGGAACTTTGGGACCTTTTCTCTGCCACCATACCGATCCCAGTGCCACATGTATGTGCAGCCGCATGAATTCCACCCAATCTTCCCCGGCAACACTGGCCAGAGCTCAACTCCTTTGCGCGCTCAGGCGGCTATCCTCTGCTGCGCGGTAGCGGGGGTGCCAAACTCGGCAGCCTCTCTCATCTTGAATGTGCAGGACAAGGTCGTGGTCCGCATCTACCAGAACAACGATGTTGCTTGCGCTCGCCATGTCGAAATGAAGGAGCAGAAGATTGCCTTCGGCGGTGTGAATCCCTTCCTTCGGCGCAAGTAAAATGACAAGTTTGCTGCCCAATGCCGACAGTAGTAATTGTGGCATCATTGAATTTGAAATTTGGCAGGCAACTCGTTGTGCGCGCATCATTGCATAAAGGACGTTCAGGTGAAGTGGAATATAAATTATGTCCATCGACTGCCGTGCGCGTTTTCAGCGCCGGCAAGCGGTTCGCCAGGCGCTCGGCGTTCACTGCCTTCTGTGAGAATGTGGGTACTCGGCCTGCGCTGCTTGCGTCATCTCGAGCATTCGGCGTTCAGTGCTTGCCAAGCACCCAACGTCCAGCGCTTGACGGACACCCGGCGTCCAGTGCTTGGTGGGCACTGCCGGGCACCCGGCGTCCAGTGCCGGCCGGCCGCCCGGCGTTCAGTGCTTGCTGGGCAGTGCGGTGCTTGCCGGGCACCTGGTGTCCAGTGCTTGGCGGGCGCCTGGCGTCCCAGCGCTTGCCGGGCACTTGGCGTCCAGTGCTTGCTGGGCACCCGCCGTATCTCGACTTGCCAGCGTTTGCCAGTATTGTTTGCAGACTACCAAGCGTCGGGCGCCTCGCATTGCGGTTGCTGGATGGGTCGCCGCTAGTCCAACCAGCTGAAGCTGTACTATTACTCGCAGTGATGGTGTTCTACATTTAGCGGAGCGGCCTGTCTCAGCATGCGTCGCCAATGCCGACGGTTACAAGGCCGGGCAGCTTTGCACTGCTCGTCATCTGCGGTTTGCGGTGATGCCCTTCCTTCGGCGCAAGTGCGTGTGTCGGCATGGTGCGTAAAATCAAGTTTGCTGCCCAATGCCGACGGTAGTAATTGTGGCATTGTGGCATCATTTAATTTGAAATTTGGCAGGCTCATCGTTGCGTGCGCACCATTGCATAAAGGAAGTTCAGGTGAAATGGAATATAAATTATGTCCATCGACTGCCGCGTCTTGAGCGCCGGTAGTGGTTCGCCAGGCGCTCGGCGTTCACTGCCTTCTGTGATCTTCTGGGTACTCGGCCTGCTCTGCTTGCGTCGTCTCAAGCGTTCGGCGCCCAGAGCTTGCCAGGCACCCGGCGTCCAGCCCGGCGTCCAGTGCTTGGCGGGCACCCGGCGTCCAGTGCTTGGCGTCCAGTGCCGGGCACCCGGCGTCCAGCGCTTGCCGAGAACCCGAAGTCAAGCATTTGCCGATTTTTTGCCAGTATTCTTTGCAGATTACCAAGCGCCGGGCGGACTAGTCAAACCAGCTGGAGCCGTATTGCTACTCGCAGTAATGGCTCTGTATTTTGCGGCGCGGCCTATCTCAACATTTGTTCGCTGAGTCGCAAGCAATGGTTTTAGCACATGCCTTGCCTAGCATCTTCAGCCTTCCGTTGGCAGTTCCGGCACCTCATATCAATTGGTCGGGTTAAGCTCCAGGTCAGTTGGGGATTGAGCCACTTGGAGGCGAGTTGGCATTGGGTCAAGTTGAAGCCTTTCGAGGGCTGGGCCGGGGGAAATGGCTGGAAACAGGGAATTCCCGCAGGATTCATAACATTTTCCTGTTTTCATAACCAGAGCCATGTGTATTGATTTCATGTTTCATAATTTTGGTTTGTCCCTCGTTACGAACTCCCGCGGAATTCATAACACGCCCCTTGCCTTGCCCAGGTCAACACAGGGCAGGCAATGTTGATCGCTGAAAACTTGGTCCTCTGCAAAAACCGGAAATCATGGGCCGTCGCAGAGGCGACGCTCCCGAGTTAGGATTGCCTCACTGCCACAACTTAGGCCCTAAGTCTTAGGGCAACCACCAAGTACATTGAGGAAGGAAAAAAGGAAGCAAGATAACAGAGAGAAAATGGAAACAGAATTCAGCAAAAGAAGGGGCACACACACAAAACATAAGACAAACAGCATAAACCAACATCTACTAATTACCAAAGACAATAAGAACAGCAATCTTGACAACGATCGGTGAGGGAAAAGGTGGCAACGCATGCTGAGACAGGCCGCTCCGCTAAATGCAGAAAACCATCACTGCGAGCAATAATGCAACTTCAGCTGGTTGCACTAGCGGGGCCCAACCAACAACCGCAAAAATGAACCGCAAGGCGCCCGGCGCCTTGGTAGTCTACAAACAATACTGGCGAATTCGGCAAATTCGAGATGTGGACGCCGGGTGCCCGGCAAGCACTGGACGCCGGGCGCCCGGCAAGCACTGGATGCCGGGCGCCCGGCAAGCACTGCACGCCGGGTGCCCGGCAAGCACGTGCACTTTGAAAGCTGTTTGGCCCATGTTGTTGGAGCGCGTAGGAGAGCCCTTTTGAGAGAACATGTTTTTGTCAAGTCCGCGAAGGGCTACAGATTCACCACGCATGCGTTGCGCTGTTGCACCTCATTGATTGGTCGTAAACTTTCTGAGGCAACAGCGGCCTGGAGTCTCAAATGGCGTAAAGATGAAAATGGAGCGCAAGAAATGTACAAGCGTGTGTGTTGACCTCAGTTTGACTGCTTTTTCAATCCATGCACCAACCAAACAGCAATGTATACGAGGTCCAGGGGAAGGGCCCAATCATGCAGGAAAATCCTGTGTCGTTGTTTGATTTGTGTTCATGACAGAACTTGGTTGCCCGCGCTATTGTTTTGGGGAAGCCCTTGTACAAGGTTCTCTTGTTGTTTTTGTCAGAGACAATCAAAGCCCAATGCAACCCGTCGGCGAAGTTTTTGCAGAAGGATCCTTTGTGCTCTTTAACGGACTGCAGCAATCCTTCTTCGACAAACCATCTTGGATGTTCACATACCAATGCCCACATGTTCCCACATCTACAAACCCTTTCATGTACGAAAATCGGCCCCGTACAATAGGGTACCCCCACCTGCCCGTACATTTACTATATAAAGGGGTCTGTATTTTCTACGAGTACTGCCTGCAACCAAAAAAAAAGCCAAAACAAAAAACGTGCATCCGACAAAGCGCAAAGCATGGTCCTGCAGCCTTTACAGATTGCGGCCTGACCGACTTTGCCGTGAAAACTTGGCCGAGCTCCGAGCTCGTTATAGTGCCCCGTCTTGTGATGCGAACCTCAGCGCAGTCTGCTAGCAAAGAAAGAACAACTGAGACAAATGGACAAATGGGGTGTTCTTGACCCATATGCATTCAATGCGCTCCTTCTGTATCCTTGTTTCAGGCGTGCAGTGAGCCACATGCTTCGTTTCTCATGTGGACTACCTGCGCAACGGGAAGCCTTTTTGGATAGGAAATTCGAAGCATTGACCACGGGCATGGGCACTGCGGGGCTGTCTTTCATAGGC